GAATAAAGGTGGCACCTGTAGTTGGCGCTGTAGGGTTTAGGATGGAAGCCCGTTCTCAGTAGCGCGCTGCCAGCTGGGTTGGGACCACTGCCGTGAAATGGTAGTCGAGGTCGTGGCGGTGAAGTGATGTGCCTCAGGGTCTGGAAAAGACTAAAACCTACACCGACCGTAGTTCCAAAGCAAAGCCGGTGTCAAATCTCAACTCTGGACCACATCTTTGCGTGCAACGCGTTCTTTTGAGGATTTGCGGATGGCTATTGGGGGAGCTCAGCATGCTTTTGTTTGTTGTTGTAAGGCAGTGCCGGCATTGCTTGTAGGATTACGGTTGCTACTGGTAGTTGCTGTCGGCACTCTTGCTTCTGGTTATACTACTGTAGCACAGCGATCGTGTTGATCGTGTTGCCTCTGTTCTAGTTGCTACCATCGTGGTGGTAATGGTGATGGCGGATGCCATGAGCATGGTGATGACAGTGATGGTGGTGATGCATGTGGTGCTGGTGATCCTGATGATGCTGGTACGAGACGACGACAACGACGACGGCGACGAAGAATAGTAGTACTGCCACTTCAGTTTCGAATGCTGGTGAGCTAGTGTGATTACTACGAGGTCCTACGTATTACGACTCGAAATTTGCCTTTGTAAGCCGTGATCAAGCAACAGGGTAGACACAGTCATTGACTTTTGTCTCCAACCAAGACCCCAATGCAGGAGTTGCGCAGGTCTCCACTGTAGTAGCCCAGCCGTCTGGGTGCATTAGACACTGATCATGCAGGGGTCATGGCTTTAATTGAAGAGCATGTTACCAGCCATTGAAGACCTGTCCACCTGTACTCCACCCTAAACCCTTAACCCTGCATCCTAAACCCTACACCTCGAACCCCAAACCCGAAACCCTCACCCGAAACCTTCAACCTTCAACTCTGCGCCCCTTAAACTTAGCCTTAAACCATGCACCCATGTAAAAGCCTACACCCTAAGTCCAAAAAGCTCCGTGCGAACCCGGCAGCTCGCCCCAGGTGGAAGAGTAAAGTTCCAGACCCGCACCACGTCGTCCTGCGGGCTTCTAGACGGGTTCCAGAAGGCCTACCAAGATTTTACAAGTGTTATAGAGTTCTACAAGATTCTACAAGTGTTATAGAGTTCTACAAGATTCTAAAAGGTTCTTCAAGGGCTCTATCAGGGCTCTACGTGGGTTCTATGTGGGGCCCATAAAGGATCTTCCAGGGTACCCTAACATTTTAAACACGGTTTAGGGTTTAGGGTTTAGGGTTTAGGGTTTAGGGTTTGGGGTTTAGGGTTTAGGGTTTAGGGTTTAGGGTTTAGGGTTGACCCATAAAACCTTAGCCCGGAACTCCCATAGAACCGTGTTAAACCTTGTAGAACCCTCACAGTACCCTACGGAACCCGTATTGTCCTCATCGAACCTTCTAGAAGCTTATATGAACTCCCGAAACCCCGAGACCTGGCGGAAGTACGAAAGAACGCTTATAGGCCACAGTTTAGGGTTTTGGGTTTTGGGTTTAAGTTTAGGATTTAGGGTTTAGGGTTTAAGTTTAGGATTTAGGGTTTAGGGTTTAGGGTTTAGGGTTTATAGACCCCTGTAGACCCCCGAAACCCTCTTGGGAAGGAGTCCTCATGGGAAACCTTATGGGAACCCATATCGCAGCCCTTGCAAGCCTTTCTAAACCCTAAACCCTAAACCCTAAACTTAAACCCTAAACCCTAAACCCTAAACTTAAACCCTAAACCCTAGACCCTAAACCCTTTCCAGGCCCCTTAGCCGACGCCCCAGCGCCCAGTTGGCGGTCCTCAAAGATCACCTGCTTGCGAGCTGCGGCTTCGTGGGGACAGGCGCCGGTGTTGGCCATAGGAGAGGGGTACAGGACTTAGGGTTTGGGGTTTAGGGTTCAGTGTGAGGGTTTTTTGGGCATAGGGCTTTAACTAAGCGGGGGGGGGTACTGGTTGTAGTGTAGAGACAGGGAGCAAAAGCATTGCGGGACAGGCCCTCAACCTAAGCGACCTAACCTCCTTCACCAGCAACGATGGCCACAATGGCCGCCCTCGAAACTCTTCCTAGTCCTCACAAGAAGAACTGCTTGCAGCCCTCTATTCCAATGCGAACGCCAGATGTTTAGGGCATCAGATTTCGTGGAGAAGGTCTGAGGCTACTTGCCAGGCCCTAAACCAAGAACCCTAAACCCCGAGACCCCGAAGCCCCTGTGGTACTCACCCTGTCCTACCTCTCCGACACCATCGGCTTGAAACAGTCGCTGGAAGGCTGAGCGGACCAGAAGAAGCTCTCTCTGCATGATATGTTCTCGACAACTTGTGCAAGGTCGCAGCTACATGTCACTGCTAACTTGCGAGCCTCCTACTGTACCCTAAACCCTAAACCCTAAACCCTAAACCCTAAACCCTAAACTGTACCTGAAGGTTCGATTCTCGAAATTTCCCCTGAACTCACAAATTTCGGGCGCGAGCACCTTGGACCCCACGTAGCCATCGACATCACAGATGCTGCCTGCGGCACACCTCAACAAAGCAGCAAAGCAACTCATCCATGGCCTTTGCTGAGTTGAAACCGCCTTAAAGTCCTTCCCCTAAGCGTCCAAGTAAAAAATACATACCTACTATCCGAAACCTAAGCACCTAATTATTGGTTCCTTTGGACCCTTAGGGTTAAAGTGCATTCACTGTTTTGCCCTCTTCGAGGTTCCAGGTAGAATTTGGCCGAAGTAGTAATGTAGGAGCCTGAATACTTAGAATAGGGTTTGAGGTGTATATTATACTATAACTATAATACGGAACCCCCAAAACTCTATTCTAATTATTAAGGCCCCTGCATTAATCGCTGCTGCTGTTGGCGTTGTCGGTGCTGTTGCTGCTGCTCCTGCCGCAGGGTCATGACTGTTGCAGGCAACATCCTCGCTAGTATCATCATATTCTCGGGCGTATCTATGTGCTGTGGCACAGCGACAATCGTAAGGCGAAGACCAAGTGCACACAAAAAGGCTGTTTCCTAACTTCCCCTTCAGGGAGGAGCATGGCTCCGGGTTGAGGGCTTAGGAATGCCTTCTTGAACGATTTAGGCTCCTGCAAACCCTGAAGCTAAACCTCAAACCCCCAAACCTTAAACCGCAAAGCCCTACCTCCGCACAACTCCATGCAGCAGAAGCGCGGCTGGGTTAGACCAAGCTCCGCCGTGGGCACAGAGACCACCTCGGTTTCGGGTGTTGTGGTTTAGGGCTCAAGCCAGAGCATGAAGCTATACACTCGGACTCAAGAAAAATGTTTATTTTGGCTGACCAACTTCGACTTCAGAAGGGATCAAGGCAGATATGCTGTCGGAGCTGCCTTGTTCAGGGTTTGAGGTTTCGGGTTGAGGGATCTATTCCGCCCCCACAGAAGCCAAAAGCCACCTGCATTTCTCTCCCAAAGCCAAATCCCTAAAGCCAACTCCCCAAGACCCTAAAAGCCCTAAACCTTAAGCCCAAATTTTCAATTTCTAAAGCCTACTCCCCAAAACCCTAAAAGCCCTAAACCTTAAGCCCCAGCTCCCGAATCCCCAGAGCCTAATCTACTCCCCAAGCCCCATAACTCCGGTAGCCTCGCCCAACAGCAAGCAGCAAGCCTCCTTTCTGGGCTTAGGGTTTAGGGTCTAGGGGTTTAGGGTTTAGGGTTTAGGGTTTAGGGTTTAGGGCTTAGGGTTTAGGGTTTAGGGTTTAGGGTTTAGGGTTTAGGGTTTAGGGGCCTCCTTTGTGGCCAGGGCACGGTGACGAGCAGGGCGGAGAGCAGCAACAGCACACCGGCCATGGTTCTCTGCTTCCCCTAAACCCTAAACCCGAAACCCTAAACCCTACCAGGCCTGATCTGCTAGTAGACTTGAGATGGCTGGACGGCCGCATCCGGATCCAGGGAGTCAACATTCAGACAAGGGTGTAGGGTTTAGGGTTTAGTGTTTAGGGCTTAGGGTTTAGGGTTTGCGGTTTAGGGACTGTTAGTTGTCGTCCCGGGTTCGGGTAATGTAGGAAAAAGAACTAAGTCATGATTTAATGGTGCCGTGTAGGGAGCAGGACAGGGGTCGGGGGTATAGTATACCATAACTGTGCGCAGCTTATGCGGGATACTGTTTCAAATTGCTCAGGCCTCTGTACTTAGTAGATATCTAAAATTAGGGTGGTTTTATGGATCCAAAAATAGTACGGCACCTTGAAAAGCAATCTGATTCTGAGAACTACCCTCATACGGATGCGGCCCTTCATGGCCCTACGCACGAAGCCTTCCTGACTGACTCCCCGGCCCCTACTTTCAAAGGATCATGAAACTTAGTAACTAGGGTTGTAGATAAGGCAACTGTAACTATACCTCCATTAGTAAGTAAGGGTGTAAGTACCTTACTAGGAGTTATAAGCAATTATAAGATAGAACTGCTTATAACTCCTATTAATTAAGGTACTTACACTACCCTAAACCCTAAACCCTAAACTCCTACTAAGGTACTTACACTCTTACTTACCAATGGGTAGCAACAGTGCAGAGCTTCGGCTTTCTGACTCCCTAAACCCCCAAACCCTAAACCCCTAAAACCCTAAACCCCTCAAACCCTAAACCACGAACCCTATAGCTTAAGACCCCAAACCCCAAACCCTACACCGCCAAATCCCTCAACCCCTAAACCCTAAACCACTAACCCTATAGCTTAAGAGCCTAAACTCCGAAACCCTAAGCGGGTCCAAGTTTCGGGGGCATACTGGGCCGTAGAACTCATGTCTAGGGTTCCAGGTCTAGGGCTTAGGGTTTAGAGTTTGGGGTTTAGGATATAGGGTTTAGGCCTTAGGATTCAGGGTTTAGGGTTGAGGTTTCTTGTGGTAGCAGTTACCACAAATGTCACAACGGCTCATGCAGTAAATTGTTTACATCACCGGCCCCCTTTAGATCCGCAAAAGGGCATGCCGCCCGTATGAGAAGACGATTCCCCACGTCGGCACAAACTCCGCGCCTGACTGCACGACATCCTTTGAGAAGTAGACGACGATGAGCTTCAAGTGAGGTGTTGGATGCTGGAAGAAGACCTGCCCCCGAGAGTCGGAGTTTAGGGTTTAGGGTTTAGGGTTTAGGGTTTAGGGTTTAGGGTTTAGGGTTTAGGGTTTAGGGTTTAGGGTTTAGAGTTGGTGTTTTAGGGCTTAGGAGGGACCTCCTAAACCCCAAACAAAAAAAACAAAACCCTAAATACAAGAAGAACTCATAATATAGGGGCCTCAATAACTTGGGGGGGTTCCGTATCATACTTATAATATAATCTACCCCAAAAACCCTATTCTACTTATGAAGGCCCTTACATTAAGCCCTTTTACTTGCACATGCAAAGGCAGTGTCCTCAACCTGATACCCCGAAAGACCTAAACCCCAAACTCCGGACAACAAAACCCGAAACCCTAAACCCTAAACCCTAAACCCTAAAACCCTAAACCCTAAACCCTAAAACCCTGAACCCCTAAACCCTGAACCCCTAAACCCTAAACCCCTCAACCCCTAAACCCCTAAACCCTAAACCCTGGACGCCCCCCCAACCCTAAACCCCTAAACTCCTAAATCCTGAACCCCTAAACCCT